AAGTCAGGTCACATCCCAGACCAACGAAATCACATGCGTGGGATACAGGCAACCATAGTTTTTGAAAGCCCCCAGGTGATGCCAATATACGGAGAACTACCACCTCAACCAACTGGTTCCCAGGCAAACTTTTGTTGACCTTTCCCATCTAGTTGATAGGGAATGTCCAGTACCCTCCCTGAAGGTCCTAAGCCTTCCCACTATTTCTCCTGCAGATTTTTTTACCATACCAAGCATTAAAGTCTATTATAACTGTTAACTTCCACACCTGGTCCCTCAAACGACTATAAGACTCAGCAATATTTTTATCTTTGAATCCCAGAATCTAACTCTGTGCCTGGTATATGGGTGTATTTGATAAATTCATGGAATGAATAACTGCTTCCTAAGAAAGCCAAAAGCAAAATTATAGTTATGGCTAGAGGCCCGGTGCATGAAATTAGTGCACTGGAGGGGAGGGTCCCTCAGCCCGGGCTACGCCCTCTTGCAGTCCAGGACCCCTCGCTCCTTACCACACGCCTGCTTGCTGCTCCTTAGCACTGCTGTGGAGGCGGGAGAGGCTCCCGCCACCGCCACCACCACTGTGCTTGCCAGCTGTGAGCCCGGCTTCTGGCTGAGCGGCGCTCCCCCTGTGGGAGTGCACTGACCACCAGGGGGCAGTTCCTGCGTTGAGTGTCTGCCCCCTGGTGGTCAGTGCGCATCATAGGACCAGTTGTTCTGGTTGTTCCACCTGAACAGTCGCTTAGGCTTTATTATATAGATATTTATATGCCATTGAAAAAGTAATAGTTTAAGATGTGTTTAGAATGACTTTTCACTGATAGGCGTTTTTTCATATTTAGGAAAATATCTCATACCAATGAAAATAAAACTGTATCTCAACGTCAAAAAAATGATAAAATATAATTTTGCTTACAAAATTACATTCTTTAAACACAGAAAAACGTTTCCTGTGATAAATATCTAAAACAACCCATTTTTGCCTGGCCAGTGTGGTTCAGTGGTGGAGCGTCAAACCATGCACCAAGAGGTCACTGGTTCCATTCCCCAGTCAGGTCACATGCCTGGGTTGTAGGTTCAATCCCCAGTAGGGGGCGTATAGGAGGCAGCCAATCAATGTTTCTCTCTCATCGATGTTTCTCTCCCTTCCTCTCTCTAAAAAAAATCAATAAAAACATTTTTTAAAAAATAAAAATAAAACAACCCATTCTTGCCCTGGCTGGTGTGTCTCAGTGGTTAGGGTGTTGGCCCCAGGATCAGAAGGGTCTTGGGTTCAATTCCCAGTCAAGGTTGAGACTGTGAGAGGCAACCAATCCATGTGTCTCTCTTGCATCTCTCTCTCTCTCTCTCTCTCTCTCTCTCTCTCTCTCTCTCTCCCCTCTTCTCTCTAAAGATCAATGGGAAAAGTGTCTTGGGTGAGGATTAACAACAAAAACAAACCCCAAAATAAAACAACCCATTCTTTCTCAGCTCCACTTCCATCTTAAATGGAATTATGTTTTCTTTCATATTTGCTTTTATTTTTCTCTCTCTGTGTCACTGAGTGACAGCTGCCATCTGCACACTCCCAGGGCAACAATGCAATAAAGGTTTTTTTCCAGCACCAGTTACCAAATCCTGGGCCCCACTGACTGGGGGAGGACCTGGGAAAGTGATAGTATGTGTTGTTTTCCAAAGCATTCCTTTTAGAATTTTATGATGTTTTAGGGGTTTATAAAACCAATTGCAAGAGTTTTAAAGTACTTAGTAAACTAAGTATTATGTAACAACCTATGTTCATTGTAGTATTCACGCTGTACTACAATGTGAATACTCAGATCCTCTGCTTCCTCGTCTCGGTAATATGATTATGATAAAAAAATATTCACTTAGTAAATGTTGCTACAATCTAAATTCTAGACAATAAACCCCATCTTGAACACGTTTTAAAAAAGGCTGTTTAAAAATATTTTGCTCCTCGGGTTGCCTAATTATATTATATTGCAGCAATGTTTCCCAAGCTAACAGTATGTTGTTTTTTATTCGCTAGATTTTTATTCGCAAAGCCTGAAAAGAAATCAGATTTAGGAACTGTTTTCCAAGGTAGTAACTTATTGCTCATTTTCCTTACTTATATTTATATATGAAGTGCTGGACTATCTCATTAGACATCAAATTAATTTAAGACCTTTCCAACTAGTGTTCAATATGAGCTCATATAACAGATAAGAATGAGAGGAAAAAGTTCAGTCCTCCACTTTTAAATGCCTACACTGTAATCAGCTACCATTAACCAATGTTTAATTTAGGCTTTTAATTAACTACAACTCATTTAAAAAGCAGCAATTGGAACATAGTTCTTGTCCTTTCCATAATGAAGTCATGACTCCAAATCACAGGTGCAATATCCTTAGAAACCACTCTACTTTAACAGGAATAAGCTGGGCACGTATTGCCAATTGTGAAAAAAGACCATTATTCCCAGTACTCAGTTCTAAGGCCATGGCTCCTAAAATGAACGTGCTGTGAATGAGACTATTCCAAGCGAGCTTCTGTTGTAATGAACACAAAACGGAATTTCTTTGCCAAGAAAACAAGGTGCACAGACTGGCGTACTTTAAACCAGCGATGTTCAACCAGGGTGCTGCAAGAATTGTTTAAAACATGCAATGCCTGACTATTTAGTCAGGGGCATTGACCCCTTTTTCCTCAAAGTGACAACAGCCAACACAACAATAGTCGTCTGGTGTGAATGAATCAAAGTTCCACCTATTTTTTGTTGTTAGATTGGCAAAAAATATATATTTTTTGGTGTGCGACAGAATTTTAGTATTTCATGTATGTGTGCCATGAGATGAGAAAGGTTGAAAAATCACAGCTTTAAACCAAGAAAGACTAGTTTTACGATTTCTGTTTTGACGAAAAGAGCAGGGCAGTTTTAAAGTTGGCTTCGATCAGCATAAATCTGATTTTAGGTAGTGTCCTTTCTCAGGTCCTCCTCTGTCTCCTTGTCTCTCTCCCAGTTGTCATACCCTGAACATACACCCCTTCCCTCCATTGGTGAGGGGGCCCTGTGCGGCATTACTGCCCCCCGCCCCCCGCCCCTGACCAGGGGTTACAGGCTCCACTGTCAGCCCAGGAGCTCCTGTGGTCGCGGGCCTGGGAGCCAGGTCGGAGGCTGGGTCTCTCTCCCATGGTCTCCAGGTCCCTCGCTGCAGGTCCCAGTGGGCGCAGACTCACAGGAGAGGCTTAGTCGCCACTTTCCCAGACCCAACAGATGGCAAAAAGATCCTCGACTTCAGTGCCATAAAAACATCTTCCCCTGGCCCTTTGCGTCATCCGTCGCTCTCTCCGGACACCATCGGGAGCGGGCCAATATAATTCTGAGGGGTCAGGGGCACCGAAAATACAGCAGACATAGGCTGTGTCCACCTGAAGAACGGGAGAGGCTGAGCTGGCCCGGGGCTTGGCTTCCGCCGCAGCGCCCCACGTAGAATAGAAAACTCTCGAGGGTGCGGCGTCCCGAGTCATGAATGGGTGGGCAGGTGGGTGCGGGACCGGAGGGCAGACGGGAAGCTCGGAGTCACGAAGCCTCCTCCGCTGGAAACGCCTCCTCTGTGCGTGGCCTGCCCTCCGTCGTTCCGAATTAGTAAGATGATGCTGAGGCCAAACAGCCACCCCCGGCCAGCCCGACTGAGCGGGGCAGGGCGCGTCCCGGGGAGCGGGGCCCGGGGGGCGCAGAGG